CACCCTTCAATGTCCAATTTATATTAGCACTGGATTTGTCCCTAGTACTCTAGGGAAGTCTGCATGGTGGTGTTTTTATTGTACATGTATCATCTCTATTTATGTGATAATGAGTTACTGTTGTCTGAACAAAATGGCAATTTCGTCCTATAAACAGAGGCATGTGCAATCAGCATTTCACTAAGTTTCTGTCATTTTGAATCTAACTTGTACAGTCATCAACCAAGGATCTCGGATGATCTGGTAGCATTGCACGTGTTTTCACTCATGGTAAAACCCAAGTGACACCATCTATGCAACTAGTTCCAGGTACTTATACTTCAATCACTCTTCTGACAACCATTCCAGTAAGAATATGGATAATTAAATGTCTATAATTACAAATTAGCCCCAACACTAGGACAGATGACTGTTTGAGGAAATCACAGTCTGTTTTCTGACAAGAGACAATGTATTTCATATAGTGTTTTAATCATCATAGAAGGCAGTGCTAACACCATATATACACTCAGAAGTATTATTGCTTCTTCCTAAATATGTACTCGTACAATACACTGGTCTCTGGCCGAATTTGAAAGACAGTACATGGTTTTTCAACAGAACTGCAATTGACTTGTCGCACAAGTGAAACTGGCTGACAATCTTTGCAGTAGATCTATCCTCAAGATAAAAATACCAGAAACAAAATATGAGACAACAAAATATTATGTGAATAATAGAACCAAGACAAAGTTGGAGATGAGCCTCTCCAATTACATCTAACCTGTCACCATTAACCAGTATAACGTTTGTGTAAACAGACCAGTGTGATGTCTTCACTTAGAGAATCTGATATAAAACAAAGTTAATTATAATTGTGATAGATCCTGTATCAACCAGGACTTGACCTCCATCCATATATCTTTACCAGGACATATGAAGCCCTACCCAGCCCTATGGGAGCTGGGCTGATACCATACCTCTGGACAAAAGTTGGTTATTGTGCACCTGGGTTGATGGACAAACCCATCTTGGACTACATTACTTTAATTGAGCATGAGCCACATCATACATTGTTTTTTTATACCTCTCCTGAACCTATCATGGAGTTGAGTGGAATGGGATATTTCTCCTATTTTGTCTGATAACAAGTTACGAAGAATCGTTGCTTGGAATTCCCTACACTCCACAACCATAGCGCACACTTTATCTCTACTGTCCATACTTCCAGCTGAGGGGAATTATCTGTTGTTGCTGTGGTACAACCATCATGAGAAGCCATTACCACATACTGACATTCAATGTGGCTTTGCTAAGAAACTGGGAGGCACTTGAAACATGTAGATATCCTCAACATCTTTTTGATAAACTTAACCACAAATATATTCTCGTGAAATGTTTAATAAAATGGTTCATATTTTTCTTATTAGTGCCTTTTAATGTTGGTGTTATTTGATGATGACAGGGACCTGTGACTGGTGAAACAAAACATATGCAATGTCGTCTCAGCTAAAATATGGCTGAGACAACCGACGTCACGGTTACCAATCGGTGTTAGTACCCAGAAACTTGTGGTCTCTGTCTTTGATCAACAAAGTAATGGCTTGTGAAAGTAAACTCATAAGCCAACTCTGCAAGTTCTTGAGAATGGTGTGAATTCACATGGTTTTGATAGTATGCATTCTCTCTCTAGGAGAGACTCTCATCTACCACAAGGATAATTATTTCCTACACTAGTTGAAGAAGGTTCCACCGATTTCTTTACTGCCATAGTTGACATTTACCAGCAGTGTGGTTCAATCTCAGTGGTTGGTAAAATTTTGAGTGCCTTATAGAAACTTCCTCACTCAGTTTCAGAACTTTCAGACAGCAGATCACCAATACAAGCTGAGATGAGATCCACTTAAGCAAACTAGGAAGTTGGATATTTGGAGAAGCTTTAAATATGTTACTAAAGATCATTTAAACTAGGCTTTCTTAGCGGTGAGGGACTTGAGAAAATGGGAATAAACAAACTGATAGGATAGCTAAGGCATCAAGGAGTTTGGAAAAAAAAGATTGAGAGTATATTGAGTTAAAAACTCGTTTAAAAGTTTGTCAAATTCAAATATAAACATAGTAAAATCAAGGAAAAGCTTATTTGCTATTATTGCAATGCTATGAGTATTAAGTTAAAAAGGGATATCATTGAAACTTGGTTAGATTTGTCAAGCGTTGATAATAGGAATTAGTTTGAGATTCCAGATTATAAGTTATGTTATATATTTAAAAGAGGGTGTTGAAAGAATTTACCTTTTAGGGATAGGTTAAGATCCTCTTTGCTTATTTTCTAATGAGAAAAGGGTAAGGTGTGATCTTATTTAAATTTAAAAGATTATCTGGAGTGGGGGGAGGGGTCTATAGGATAAAGGCCACTGATTTTTTTGCTATATTCTGAAGATAACTCAGATAATGTGACAAAAAGACAGAAGCGTAAGACTTGGAAAACAAAGGCTAGGCTTCACTTAAGACAACTATATTTTCTAGCAAAGTTATTGAACTATAGAATGAGTTACCATTAGCAGTAGTTGAAGCCAGCACAATTACAGGAATTTGAGAGGGAAATTGGTGATTTCTTTAAATAGAATAGAGTGAGTATAAATTTTCACTTTCTTCAAAGACTGAAATGTAAGGAAAGCCTTGAAGGACCAAATAGTCATTTGTTGTACGTCTATTTTATTATAATAAAAAGATGCTAGTTTTACGTCTATGGCTGTAGTGAAATAATTTAGTGATACCAAAGGAGAATGAGCCATGATCATGTGTAACTAGGACAACAACAGTTTAACAACATATCAAAACCAGTTTTCTATTATTAAACTAGGTTATATGCATTCACCTTTAAAAACTAAAAGTCAACATGGGAGTTAGAATTTTCGACCTGAACGACGCCTTATGTGCACGTGGGTTAAACAGCCAGGCCAGAGGTCCTTAGAATTCAAGTATAGTTGTCCCTAATTTTGAACTAAAAGCCAATGAGAGACTAACCAGTCAACAGCGCCTGCTTATTGTTGGTGGTAGTTTTTTAGCACAAAACTACAAAATGGACTATTTGCTTTCTGTCCACTGCAGGGCAGTTAACCCCAAATTTTAGCATTATAAGTTCGGATACTTACCGCTGACCCACCGGAGGACCATAATTTGCCGCCACTAATATTTTGTCCAGCTCTTTCAACCAAACAATGGGTTTGGCTGTCATATGCTCTTAGTTGAAAGTGAGGATCATTTCAGTTGTATAACAGCATGAAGCTTGGATCATCCGATACACAGCCTGACACGCTAACCATCAGGCTCAAATACCCCATGAAGGTAGAGATATATGTGGAAGTATGGGTACATTGTTTAACACCTCTTCCAGTTGCATGCCTCGGCCGTAAAATTAATTTAAAATTACAAGCAACCGGATACAAACATGGAGTCTTGGATTAACACTAGGAACGTCTAGCTCTCGTCAAAATAGAAGCGTATAAAAAGTGCAACAACTTATATTTGAATGTGAAAGATGTTTTTCCTGTTTCCATGATTACATTTATCTTGATCTTAAAGTTGTAAAATTTTAAAACAAAAGTCATGTTTGTAAATTTTAAGAAAATATTGAAGAAACTCATTTCATGCGATATCGACCTACTAACTTTTTGTTAATTTATATCATAAAAAACGAATTATTTTGTCTTTCAGTAGTTATACTAGTTTAAAGAGGGTCGGGTCAGTGGTAAGTTCAGGACTTACAACGTTAAAATCCGTGGTTCGATTCCCAGTGGTGGACAGAGCGCAGATAGCCTATTGTGAAGATTTCAACTAAAACAAACAAAGAAATAAGGATGAAAATGATGAGAATTGATTTCCAGCTTCGTGTATAATTCTTTCCAAGTTATTTATTAACTAATATTAACAAAGGTTACATGTATATCATTTGCCTTACAGGTCTACTGAATAGTGGTACAACATTTTCTGGAGATTCATCCCAACTGACTAGCTTCATATCAGCATAACTGTTTTCAGTGTATTATCTAACTTCTACTTCTAGGTGTCCTGGAGAGTTTCATTGGAATCAAAATTCGGGTTGGTTATGAATTTCTCTCAAAGTTATACGAGGGCTACCTACATTAGCCATCCCTAATTTAGCAGTGAAAGACTAAAGGGAAGACAGATAGTCATCACTATCCACTGCCAACTCTTGGGATTCTCTTTTGCCAACGAATAGCGGGATTGACTGTAACATTATAACGTCCCCACGGCTGAAAGGGCGAGCATGCTTGGTTGGACGGGGATTTGAAACTGCGACCCTCAAATTGCGAGTCGAGCGCCTTAACTACCTGACCACGTCGAGCCTCAAAATTCGGGAAGTAGGCACTAAAGCAAAGCAACAGAGAAAATTGAAATGACTGTCAGACTCGTAAAAATAAGAAAATGAATGATGTAAGAAAAGTCATTTCGGGTTTCAATAAGGGGAAGGACAACTTATATTAGAGATCCAGGGGATTTAAGCCTCTGGTCGCTCTTGGATTTTTTAAAATATTAAATATAAAAGTCAGTTTATTTTTGGAGCATTTACTCTGATTATTTCCTCTGTTATTTAATAACCATTCAAATAGCGCAAACAGCACTTTGTATGTATAAGTATTGTTTCAAAAATAAACTAATGATATTAATCGCGGTGGTCTGCACTACCTACATGGTGCCCCTGCATAGAATCTCTCCAAGAACTCGTGAAAGTTTCATGGTAATCAGAGGTGGGTAAAGATGGAGAATTTTCTTTACGGACAGGCAGTAAGCTACTTTATAATATAGATTAACTTGGAGTAGCACTACGAAACATTTGTAACACTTAGCTTTGGAAATGATATTGAGTAATAGTGATTTTTAGAACAGAACAAAATCATGAGAATTAAATCAGTGAAATGTTAATGTGATCAGGAATAACTAAACTCTAGGTCTATGTTTGGAAATGAAGCGCGGCAAGTGATCAAACCAAACTAATATGTGAACAAGAAAGCTTTTATTAGTCACTTTGGACGTACAAGTAACCATTTTTCTTATGTAAGATTATTAGGAACAATTTGAACAAACAAGATATAAGAGAGTATAAGTAGCTTCGCTTAGTATAAAAAACAGGAAGATTAATTTACATTCTATGCAAGTTTTCTAATTTCCCGACTACTTTCATTGTTATCATGTGTGTTAGATTTTCGGAGAATAACATACACTAAAATTACGTGACGATATCAATGAGCGTGAGTAATCTATATAATTTAGTGACAAATTTGATAGCTGCATTAATCGTGTACGATAGAAACCGAATAAACAGTTTGTTGGATATATGGATAGGCCAATAGTTACTTTACACATTTTTGTTAACCAAAAATATTATTTTTGTTTGTACGTTAAGTGACTATATTATGAAATATTACGTATATAAACTTACAACTACAGATTTAAAAAATACAGTATATCACAACTGCGAAAGACCTAGTTAGATCACACAAGTTATATATTGGATTAAAGAAAGCAACAGATAACAAGGAAACGTGTGATTGCTGGTCTAGTTTCAAAGTGCTCGTGTTAAATATATTAAACTTGGCTTATTCATTTATTGGTGTAATGGCTATTTGCTCGAAGGGCCTGCTTGTCTACTTATACGCATGGCATATAGTTCCTAGACAAAACAAAACGCACGACTGATCACGTAATGCGCACTGGACTTATGTGACGTCATATGTCGCTTTGACCGTTTTTTTTTTTAGTTAACTCCTAATGAAGCCGATAGGGTCACATCCTTTCTTTAATTCAACGCTGCATTTATGTTGGCTAATTGCCAAAAGTCTACGTGACTCTGAGTTAAGTCTGTATGTGTTAAAATGTCGTAGTATATAGTTGCATTTAGTACATGTGCACAAAGATTTTACTGAGACAAACAGACAAGAACAAATCTTGAGGATTTTTTATATAAACAGTCTTTATAAACATTTAACACATTAATTATATAAGAGAAAAATGTTTTTTTCGTCATCTTTATAGTAGCAGAAATTCAACAGTAACGTTAAAAGGATTAAACTCTGAAGGCATTATTAGCAAGTCTATGATCACCAGATAGCACGAAGAAAAAAAAAGACTGAACGTTACAATAGTTTTACATACTACAAATTGAAAAATACTGATAAATAAACGTTTTAGTTCACTTGGAATAGAAAAAAAATGTTCTATTGAAATAAACTTTAGATGAGAAATGTTAACATTTTATGTAACGAGAACAGCAGTTTGTAAATCGTGGTCTCTCAGACACAGAGTGTTTTTGTTTACTAAGATACTGTCTGGGGATCATACAATTACGATAGAACTTTATTCGTGTTTTAAATTCCATTTTCGATCACTAATAGAGCTTAATAATCAAGTTTAAGAGATGCTCCATATTTGTAACTTATATAATATCAATTAATACATGCATGTTCAAATATTTACTGACAGAAAACTGTAAACTTTATCTTCGTTTTTAGTAATTAGAGCACATTTCTGCAATATATTAAAATTGGAATTTACAGAAAATACACACTCATTCATAGCATTACTCGGTGTAATTCAATATATTACATAGAAATTAAGAAGAGCAAAATTCCGTTCTAAGAACTCAAAGTAATGATTTCACTTTCTAAGAACGTATAAAATGAACACATTGGGAAAGATTAATGCCTCACGTAGCAAACACTTTTCCCCCCTTTTTAATCTCTATAAAGTTGTAATTTCAGAAGAGAATATTTTCTTACACAATTACTTACAAAGCATAAAATACATCGAAGATTTTCGTTAACAAAATATTGAAAATATGCACTTTGTTAATAAGGATGACCCTAAAGGTGATTCATAGATTAAACAATAAAACTTTCAATACTAGCATAAATACCTAAATCCCTTCCTTCTTTATTTATTTATGACTCTTTAATGGCACAAATTCTCCTTTGATTAAAAAACAAAAGTTACGTGACTAAAGAAATCTTTAGATGCAATGTTTCAACTATCCTGGCATTTAATAAGTCAAAAATGAATTTTATTGAAGTTTACAATTTTTCGGAAGTATCACCGAAATCTTCAATTTTGTACCCATGTTTTTAGTTATATAATAAACTGTTAATGACACACAAAACACAAATGCTATTAGTTTTGACAAATAAAAATGCGTGAAATATTACGGTAAAACACACTTAGCACATGGATTCCTTAAATGCGTCTACAGATGGTTAATGGCTTCAATGATAAACTGAGAAATTTTCAAGCAGCTTTCACTCCAACGTAAGAAGAATTTTTGCCTGTCTTTTTCAATGCTTCCAGAAGCTCGTCTGACGACAGGGTGGAATCAATAAAAACCTTTTTTTCTCGATCTCAATTTCCACTTTGTTTACACCTGTACAACAGAATATAATAAGTATGTTTTGTAACTGGTATTTTGTTCTCATGAATCATTATATCCAGAACTGAGAATAAGAAAAATATTATGTTATTTATAAGATTTTAAGAGGATTTTTTCATGACGACATTCTTCTAGCATATTAAATTTGAAAGAAACGATTAATTTTTTAGATAATTTACTAACTTTATTTCACCGCCATTTTATGGAGTAGTTCAAAAGTTAGTTTCCCCAGAGCAGTACACTAGTTCGTTTTAATTTCTTTCGAATTAATATACGATTATAATTATACGTAAACAGTCTATAAATATAATGAACAGACTGGCAAAGAACCATCGCGTTTTAGTGTTCTAAAGCAAACGATATTATTATTCCCCATACACTTACTTGTAAATTATTTAATGATTTTAAAAGCATTTGTAAAATTCTTTTGTATTATATCAATTATCTTAGATCTAATAAGTGAAGAAACGATTGTGCCATATTTCAATTTTCATTTGTTAGGCTCCAATTAAAACATTAGCCAGAAAAACTTGAAGTATTCACTGTAATAACTTATTTGTATTCTTCAAGCTTACTTTTTCAAACACCTTGAAATGTGTTTTCACGTATTTATAAACAAGATCTGACGCAATAGTGTTACAGGCTAGTAGCTGAAGTAGTTTTGGTTGTTATACAAGAAAGATGGTTTATTAAATGTTAGAAAGAACTTGGTTTTAAAATTCACACAAGTTTTTATCGGTTGTCCATTGTAAAACTATATTTTATTATGAATAAAATAAACAAAAATTTTACTATGTACAACCGATAAAAACTTGTGTGAAGATGTTTTTTTTTTAAATTTTATGAAATTAATAGCTTAACTAAAGTTCGGATAAACAAATATTATTGTTAATAATAAAACTTCTTATATTCTTGAAAATAAATTACTTAGATTTTGTATTGCACATGCATTATGTTATACGCTGATAAGATTTCTTTTATTCATTAATTTCTAGAAAGTTTGAGTTTCATGAACTGTTTTTGTACCATTATTGTAGTTAGACTTGTTTAGTATAGCAGATTTCATAAGTTCATTCCAACTAACAGAAAAAAATAGGCCAGCTTAATAAGTTCATAACAAATAAAACATACTGATGTAAGCTATGTTTTAATGTCGTAACTTATTTGTTTGCTAGAGAAAACTGCAGGTCGTAATAATGAAGTTAAGATCATAAAGTTTAATAATGTAGGCCTAGAACACCTAGACAATTCCAAAAGATTTGACGTCAGAGTTTTAAATGAATTCAAGAGTAGATACGGGGTTCAGTAAAGCATTGAAAAGGTAATTGTGAAGATTGTTGAGTTCTTTCTTGCCAGAAAAGATAGTCAGTTTGTTTTCGTTACAGCCGTGAAGTTGTACAAGTAAGTTTATTTTTTACGTTAGTGTAGTGCAGTTAAGAGTCATTTGTAAAAGTGGCCTAAAGTTAGCACAGTGTTAAAATTTGTAAACGTTAAGGAAGAAATAAACTAAAATAATACAAAAAAAAACAACAAAAAACAGTCAACGAAATAACAACATTACATCAATATATGTAACAAATTACATCATTGCAAACGGTCTTTTTTATTGGCTACGTACTTAAACTTATTAAGCTATATTAAAATTAAAATTATCATTGAGATTACAAGTAGCGACAACTGTTGTTTTATGTATGCAAAGGGCACGTTAATTCTCGTATCTCTGTTAAATATACAAGATACAATACGTGTCTATGTTGTGGTACTATGAAGCCATTTAAACGTATCACGATACTCAACACGAATCTTTAAACGGGAAGTATTTTAAAAACATCCCGGAGGTTCTTTAATTTATTTCAATTGATCACATATGTCGTTTTATTACATTTATTTCTTTGAAGTTTTAATTTCTGAAATATTTAATCATAGTTACTGGATGAATTATAAGATGAGCTAATTGTATAACCACAAATATCGTAGCTTTAGTTGACATACACAACAACTTTGCGCCCTCCAGTGGCACAGCGGTATATTTGCGGACTTACAACACTAGAATCCGGGTTTCGATACCTGTGGGTGGAGTGGGGGGGGGGGGAGCAGAGCACAGATAGCCCATTGTGTAGTTTTGTGCTTAATTACAAACAAACAATCTTGCTTATTGCAAAAAAAAGAGCAACAAATGCAATTTCAGCGTTTCAGATTAGAGATTATTTTGGAAGTAAAAACTAAATTTTTATGCTTTTCAAAAACAAATTACCAGTTTACTCCATTTAATTATAAAATGTCATATCATTTGAGTATGATGACTGGTTACTTGTTTCTTTGTTGTACGCTACTTTAATGTAAAGATTTTACAAATTAAAATATATCTTAAGAAAAGGAACACACATGTACTTTCCAAGCATTTAATGCACGGTGGTGAAAATGTTTTTCATATTTACTCACTAGTCATTTTTCATGTTAAAAGTTTAAGATATTTTCATTATTTACTCACCTTCCAAGCCTTCCAGGGCTTTTTTAATAGCATCGACGCATTCCTGGGAAGTCATTTCTACTTCAAATTCGTGTACCTGTAAAAATAATGTACCAATATAAGAATCTTGATTATCAGTATCATAGCAAAATAAGTATAGAAGAACAAGTATTATAATATATATCAAATTAATCTACATTTGTTAATACTGCAAATATTGCACAGGTTTTCTGTGGTTATTAAAGATAAAGTGTCTAATAATATCATACATATATAAAAATCGTTCCTAAATTATACTCTGGAATCAATAATGTCATTAAAGCGTTTGAAACTATTTATATTCCTTTACCTATGTCCAGTACAATGTGTTTTAGAATATGCAATAAAAGTGATATCCAGTTCTATTATAAAGACCTCCTAATGGCTCAGTGGTAAGTGTGAGGACTTATAACGCTAACAATCGGATTTAGATACCAGCGGAGAGAAGAAGGCAGATAGCCCATTGTGTAGCTTTGCACTGAACAACAAACAAACAATCTGTGGAAAAGCTATGATATATATTGCATACACGAACAAGACATCACAATTATCAGATTCATTGCTAGCAGTATAAGGTTATAAAAGAAAGAGTATTTTCAGTTTGTTTGAGATGTTGTCATTTATATGCTTGCCTCCCAATGGCTCAACAGTAAGCTCGAGCGTTTATAATCTAAACCTGGGTTTCAGTACTCAAGTGGGCAAAACGCAGATAGCTTATTGTGTAGCTTTTCGCTTAAACATAAATGAACAATTTATACAAGTAATAAATTCAAAATTATTGGAATAACAAAACAATGGCAAAATTATGCAGGACATACGAGGCAATGGATCCGGGAAAATAGAAATATTTTAATATTTAAACAGCAAACACAAATTAGTTAGAACCTTTTATCCAATAACATAAAACAAACAAAACAACAACAACAACAACAACAAAAAAAAAAAAACTCAAAAATTTTGCTGCGTAAATAGTAAAAATACTATTATTTTAACTGACTAAATAAGTTTCATAGGTACGGTAAATTTAATGTTTTCGGGCATTAAACACGAACTAATAATTAATATTACAATAAGATTACATTTTACTTCAAGTACTTTCCAGATTATTAATATTCACGAATAATTTACCTGTGAAGCCATTTTAAATCGTGAAAAAGGATATCGCTGGTGAAAACTTTTTACACTTGATGGTTACAGAAAGATAGACTCAACGAAATTATTAGTGCGGGTCATATGCATCAGTTTATATAAGGACCAGAAAAACAAAGCAGAACACGTGGGTGTGATAAACACAAAACTCAAGTTAAAGAGAGGGCGCTAGCGTCTGGATGCATGTGACTGAACAATTATCAAAAAGCATATTATTATTGTCATATGATGTTGTCGTGATTTGGATAATAATTGCAGATTCAGGGACGTTTGCGACCATTTTTACTCGTGGTTAATGCAGTGCTGAAACGTGGCGATAGTATTACCTATAAGACTTCAAAATAATATAATGGAAAAAATACTTTTTCTTGCTGTTATTATAATTGCTTTGACATCTTTCTCGTTTATGCCAATCGTGGAATCTCAATTACCTCCTGTGAGTATAAATCGTGTCTCTTTTATTTACGTTGTTTATCTACGTTGATTTATTGGTCTAAGACTCTAGGATTTCAAAGCATGTTAACTTTGTGATTATACATTAGTGTTCACGCGGAAATAAAGTCCATTTATTATTCTTCTCAATGGCAACGTAACTTAAAACAAAACTCACTTGTAAGTTGTAGTTGTGAACCTTTTAAATGTTTATAAAACCAGACTTATTTATTGTGGTTTCTACCGAAATACAATTTAATTTACTGAGTACATATAAGTTTTCTTACTTTTTTTATTTTTATATAGAAGGAATTCTGGCATTAGGCTACTGACACATATATCTGATGTACGGCATGAAAACAGGCCGTTAATATTTTAAATTGCATTTTTAAATTTTGGAAGAAATATTCTTTGAATAACTAAATAACTAATAAGATTAAGTTTAAAAGGGTTGCATGGAAGTTTTGTCTGTGTGGTTTTTGGGAGAAAGAGAGAACTTTTTTAACCCAACTAAAATTAAAAATGTGGAGGACTCGTAATCTCAGATTTTATTTCAACTTTCACACCCGAAGCCAATTTAAATGATTGATAGAAGATGAAAAAAATACTGGGCATGGATTACGCTATCTACTGCATATGTATAGTATAATCAGTAGCTCTATTTATGAAGTATTTGTTTATTTTGGAATATTTAACTTTATTACTTGATTTCGTATATTGTTTGTTTGATTAAATCACAATTGAATTGGATAAATTGTACACGTCCATTATTCTTTGAGAATGTACCGTATTTTTCGTAATATAAGACGTACCCTTATTTTGAAGACAAAGTTTTGGGGAAAAAATCT